CTTGATCGTGACTGGTTCGTCTATCAGAGAGCAACCGACATTAATTAACTGAAAACAAGTCGACTCGATGTTCGGAAGTATTTCTGACGGTTGGCAGAGTAATTTTCTTCCGACCAAACGAAAGTCTTCTAGCGAGCAGCTCTGTTCTAAGCAGACAGACGGAAAATGAATCGTGCAATTCCGTTTTTGCGGCGTCGCCAGTTCTTCATTCTCCTATCCCAGTAATTACGGTGAAAACTGGTTAACGAACTTTGCCAGCTTTTGCCGCAGTTAAAGTCGCTTTAAATCTGCGTTCCTCAGTTGCGTTTCGTCGAAACCCTGTTAGATTTAGTTCCACGTGTCAGGGACATGTGGAGCATTTAACATTCCTACGCCGAAAGTTGTGTATTTATTTATCAATTTTTAAGATTGAAAATCTTTTTATTTTCGAACAGCCGAAATTCATATCCCGTTATATACAATATATACAATTTTCATTTTCATTTCAAGATAACATAAGAAAAATCGTCGCTAACTCGTAGAATAGGTACATTTGTTCTCCTTTAAAGTAAAGGAGAAAAATCGATTTTTGTTTGAAAAGTCCAAACAATGTAGACTTCATTTCTAGCCCATATAGATCTGTAAATACAATCGAGCTTTTAATCCTTTTTTTCTTATTGTACCCTCTGTTGTATTCCAGTTCAATAATTCTTGTGCAAGCGGATAGAACGTAAACTAGTTATCCATTGTTTCGTTCCAGCTAGAATTTATCAACGAGTTGGTAATTCGTTTCGCAACAATAAATAGTTCAAAATCAATTTTGAACAGTCCACTCTACTTACTGTATTGAATAATCGCAAACGGACACAGTTTGTAAGTTTTATCTATATTTTCGATGTGAAATTTATTACTAAAAATTGCATTTCATTTGTCACGTTTACAAATTTATACATATATAAAAATCTTGGAATATTTCATTTCAAGGTTGTACGCGGTGGACAAAATTTCTTTCTATATCGTGGTATTGTTATTTATGATCCAACTTTGTTATATTTCATAACGTTGAAAAAATATGAAAATTTTAAAAGCTGGTTTGTCATCCCGTCAGAGTGTGTTTTTCTGAGAAATAAACATTGTTCATACGTTTGCGCGAGGAAAGAGATATCCATTTGTATCTTCAGTGATAACAGAAAGTTGAAAAGCGTTGAATGGCCAGAAGCGTGACGATTCAGGTCAAAAAATACCAAAATGGTGGACGGTTAAATACCAAGTTTAATGGAAGAGAATCGCGATGGCGAACACCAGCTACCCCCCGCTTCGGGTCTGTTGACGATCAGAGTGATAATGAGACCGCATATGCGACGCGTACGATGCCCATTAACGTAACAAGTCGCCACAGTTGTGACGGTTACTATCCCGGAAATTATTACATTCGAGGGCCGAATCACGTGGACAATTGTGCAGACTGCCTAGAAACGCGAACGCGTGCCAAACCGCCTGGAATTTGGTCTTGAAAATTCTGTCAGTTGGGGCGTTAGGCTTGTTCGCATCAGCAGCTGTGCAGATGCCAACAGACACAGAAATTCCCTTACCCAAGCGCTACGTGTATCGTTCGCTTGCAATTCTATACAATTATCGTGCTTTGTTGAGTTATTTAGAAATTGTGATAAATTGAACGATAAATGATGATAAATTAAAACTCTCTATGCCCAATGAAAATCACTTATTTTTTGACTCGACACACCAGAGACCTCCCTTACAATTACAGGCGCGAGTACCTGGAAGAATCTGCCCGCTGTTTTATAGAGGTCGAAGACAGGATCGATTTTAACCCAGACCGCTTGAACTCTCTCAGCCAATCGAACGCGTCAGCTGCTTGGAAGTAGCTCTTCTCGACTGGTTAACGGAGCTTGCGCCATTAAACTGACCTTTCCTAGCGGCCAAGAGAAATACACCGTCCAGCAGAGAAGGGTTAATCTATTCATTGCAACGGGCAAACAGCAATAAATTGTCCCGGTCTAGCCGTGGCGTCCTGAATATCGCGTCTACCTCGTTAGACCACGAGGGAAGATGCGAATATTACACTTCATCCCGCTCGTAAACGTAGACGCGCATATTACGCTCGTTCTCGTAAACAGGTTTAACCTTTTCGGTGTTAAAGGCGCATATAAACGTTCCCCAATATCCATCGGTACATTCAAAAAGCGTGCATACATCGCGTGTATAAATCGCTGATAAAATTTATTCGCTCCAATAAATTCGGTGTTATATTCGTAGAGATATATGTAGATTCAATCTGACGTTTAGGACGATTGCTACAGTGCTGATAGGGGAGTAAATATCGTAAGCTTCGAAAATTTACAATAGATAGAACTGTTGACTTGCCCCTATAGACGAGTTGCTTTTTCAAAAGCAGATCAAGGGAAGATGTGTGTCAACAATATCCAGAGGGGTGCGTAATAAGCTGCGGGGGTAGAAATGCGTTCAAATCGCAACTCCCATTAGTAGGAAACGCAATGTGGCGACAAGCGAAAGTAGGAAGTGCTGCTGGAAACATTTATATGCTTAAACTGTTATATATTGCCTGGGTACATGGCTTCCAGCCAACTCCTACATGGGCATGTTTATTCTCTTCACGTTTCTACGCGGTGGACTCCATTGTACGTGCGTACAACTTGTGGGTTTTAGCGGCTTGGGACGTCGAGGATTACAATTTATTCGCAGCAATATCAAACAGAAGGAGGGGAAGACTTTTCCTAAATTTGTCCGTGCTCGCCAAACGATGATTACGGGCGAATTAGGTTAAATAAAAGGCAGCGTGTTCCATCGTGAACTTTTTTCGTTTGGATACTGATTTAAACTTGGAGTAAATCCAATTAGTTCCATTATCTTTTATTTGATGAAGGATATCCTGATACACCTAAACCTAAGTTTTGTTCTCGAGCAATTTTTGCGTCGATTGAAAACGAAATTTATAGCGCACGTCCTCTTTTCTGTCCCTTTCATCTCTAATATCGACAATTACCTGGCACTGTGAGACTCTTGTTAGTCTTTACGACCCCATAAAGCATGAGGAAATTGTATTTTTCACATCGATAAATAAGATTTCCACTTGAAAGAGAACGAAAATCATTTTTCTGAGATCCCAGACAAGAAATGGCGGATACGCCCTCTAAATGCATCCGATATATAAACTGAAATTTCACAAATTGAAGCTTCGAAATATCCAATATGGTTCTGGGATAGCCCAGTAATAGTGTTCGATATTAGCTTGTCCCTAATTTACTCCCCATTTCCGGCTAGGAAACCGCAGAATGCATTTCCACAATTTCCTAATCTTTGAATTTTCCCATTAGCCACGTAAGCTGTCCGTCGAACGAATGAACAGACATGCACACGAATCAGCTTCGATATGAAATCCTACTTGTTGCATTTAACTCAGCATAGAACCTGGCAACGTTTGCAATTCGATTTCAAACGGCACGTGCCTCGAGTTTGCCACCGAGTAGCGTTAGAAAAATGACACGTCTGCGCTTTTGCGGAGCTAAAGCTCATTGCACATGCGTGTAAATTGACCAATGGGAGTCGTACTTAGTCACGTACTTTGGAATTGAAACTTTGGTGCGCATACTCAGTAGTATTAGTACTATAGAAATTGAACCGAAGCTCAGTATGTTGAAGATTACACAAGTGACCTTAAGTTTCTAAAAGATTCAAAGAGGAAAGTACTTGACAACCTTTTTGACAATTGTATCTACTACTTTCTTAAAGATTAAACTATTTTTGATTGCAGGAATTCCAGGCTGAGAAGTATCAACACGACCAGTCTAATGATTGATAGATCCAGAATCCAGTATAGTTCGTTTTTACGTTCATATAAATGACCTGTTGTTTAATAATTGGAAGAAGGATGTGTTGAATATTTAAACAAATATTTACTGGAAAAATACCGCCGCTGAGAATATTTTCCGCCGACGCAATTTTCATAGATATTGAATGCGTTGAAAAATATGTGCTTGGATTTTTCCGAACGGTATAAAAGGAGCCAGAAAATCACGTGCACAAAAACGCGTTTTCGAATGAAAAATTAAAAAACCAGGCAATTAGGCATTTAGACTGAAAGTGCTTTCTTCGTATAGATAGCAATAAATAAAAATAATAAAAATAATAAAAATTCTAATTTCCAATATTCTCTTCAAAGTCTCTCACAGATCGTCCTAAATTCGCCTGAACGTTAATATCCTCGACAGAAGACTCTAACCCCATCTTAGCCCAGAACTCACTTCACGTACGCTTAAAAATTACTTCCGATAAGACCGTAGCGATAAGATCATGCTCACGATAAGCGGTTGTAATCCGTTTTACCACATCGAAACCTTATCAGCGTCAACTTAGAGGTCAAACTCTCCTAAGCCCTGTGGAAACGATTCTGTCTTTGGGCGATTCGTGTAATAAATTCCCCTAACAACTCTCGCTGGTAGTTGGAGGAAGTGCCTCGGAGTTTAGGTTTCGGACCGTTTCCGGTTAATTAAGGGAATTTATTAACCTGCGGCGGTTCTAGCCGAGCATCGACGCTACCACATCGTCAACCCCTTCTTCAGATTCAAGGAGACCTATCCAGGATCATCTGATATACTTCGTGCACTTTCAGAGATATTTATACATCTTTGACGTGTAAGATATAAACAACAAGTGTTTCATTGACACATTAATTGACATAAATTCGCGCAGTTTTATTTTCATCGAAAAATAAACAGCTGGACAAATTGCCTGATCGGTAAGGACGCGTTTTCATTTCCTGGACACGCGACAAGCTGCTTTCCGCTCGGGAAACGCGTTATTTTCCACGTCGTGGGAAAAAACAGCCCCGCATGAAACGAGCAATTAACGGAAAATCCAAAGCCAATGCGGTCTGTGGACGAATCACGAATGATCTCCATTCGCAATTAGCCTTTCCAGATCAGGGAAATGGAGCTATTTTTTTCTCCCACGTAATTGAAAAGCTGATGACCTCCACCTACCTTTACATTCCCATACTTCCAAGTGAACAGCGCGACAGCTGGCAAGCAAGCGATGACGCAGCATTCCAGGATCAAAATGGCAGTCCTCATCAACCAATTCAACGACACTACACATGGCGATTCGTCCTCACAGGATTCGCATCCCTCTGCGCAAGGAAGACACTCGAAGACGCCATCCACGTCGTACTGACTCTCATCGCCCTGTAAACAAACAGTGACAGGAAGTTAGGTACATTTGAAAATATTGAATTATGCATAGAATCTAGCTTTAGTTCCTCCAAGTCAAGGCAGGGTAGCTCCAATGTGATTAAAGAAATTAAGCATAAAATGGAATTAAGAAACTTTGTAGTGCTATAAAACAAAAAAGATCTTTTTCAGTAATTGAAAAATATCAAAACTGAAGGGATAAGTTTGCATTTATTTTCAAGTCGCTTCTGTCTCGCTTGACGGATGTACAAAGACTGGTCTTCGGATCTTCGTCGTGGCAAATCGTGTAGCCCCCCTTAAAGGACGCGTAGCCACCTTCTTCAGTGGGGGCGCGAATTCGCCAGGGGTAGCGTTCGGGGCCCTAGATCCGCCGCGCGGACGGCTAACGGTCGCCTGACTTCGCGTCGAGGACCTTTAAAGAAACTCACGGTTTGTGACACTAGCTTTAATTATTGAGGCCGTTGGCAAACTCTAGCTACGAACATGCTTGTTAAAACTCGACATAACGGCTTTTCTCAAAAATAGCTTCGCTATGTCCGTGTCATAAACCGTGCTAGCCGTTTGCACGTTCGAAGTCTTTTTAAACATTTACAACTAAGCCGCTACAAAACTACTGCGGTTTGATATATTTTTATATTTTTATAGAGCGATCGTCCATCAAACTTTCCGATACACTTTCCGCTTTATAAGCTGGCCAATATTTTTGTTGAATCATTAATAATAAAGTCCACCACTGAATTCGCAAACTTCAAAACGATTGAATGCATACAAATATTATTTTATACATTGCTGTATATTCTTGCCTTTTTTTAGCGCTGTTGACATCTAACCGAAATCAATTGGCGGCCTCGCATGATTACTTCACAATACTGTCCTCTTCGTGTCGCGTGACTGCGTCGACGCTTTATCTCTTGTCTCTTTGTTTCGTGGTCTCATTACCCTAATGTTATATTTTAAAAACGGAAAGCATCGAATACTCTGCTGAATACGATTTCCCTTTCCCATTCTCACGCACCTGATAAGGGAAGCACTAAGACCTAACCTGTTCTCAGACTTGAAGCCTTTGCACTGCTAGAGACGTTCCATTTCTAAGATCTAAGATACTTAGAAGCGTCCCATATCACAATAAAGTAAATATTATATTTAGATTGAAAATCGAAATCTTATTGACAGATGAGAAGAATGTACAGAGGTCTGAATATGTCTTCCCTAGGTATTGCAAGTAGTATGAGAGGCGAATTAATCAGCCAAGTAGTATGAACGCGTATTGGTCAGACAACCAGTGTACCTAATACAGAACACACACCTCTGACATTTGTTCCCATCGCAAAAAAGACGCGAGAGATGTTTAAGATGTAAAAATCAAGTGAAACACCTTGCACACGAAATAAATAAATAAATTGCCATCACCTGCTGCGTTTATATGTTCCCACTTCCAAAGAATTATGTTTACAAGCGCAATCTATGGAAACGTATTTCTACCTTCGAAACTACATGCATTAAAGGAGGAATTTCTCGTTAAATTTCTTTACTGCTAGAGTTCGTCGTGGTGTTTGCCGAGGGAAACCGTGAAGCGTTAAGTAAATAAAACCGTCTCAAATTTCCAATAGTTCTCGATACGAAGACAGAGTGTTGAAGTTTCGCAATTTACTTTCGCTTCTCGAACCTGAATTACCGCAACTAAAATACAAACATGTCGTCTTTCATTGTTAGCTTTGCATGTCTACCAAGTTGCATCACATATCGCTGGCGGTCTGTGTTTCTTGCAAATTAGTATTAATGCACACACAAACTTGAATTTCTCGGTAATTGTCGGTAAATCGAGTGAGAAAATATTAACCTAACAGAGTAGGCGTTCTCGTTTCTAGAACTAGGGACCTCCGAATCATGTGAAATAGCAAATAGCATGGCCAGAGCAGCATTAAAGTTCACGAGCAACTGCTTTTCAAACGTTGAGGATCGAGTTTCACGCAGAATGCATTCTAGTTTGTGAATCTCAATCTCGTTAACATCAGCGCGAAAATAATAATCAGGAACCAATCAGCGCGAGCTTAGTTTGCGCGCCAGTTTGCGTTGAACTTCGACCCAATATCTCGTCTAATCAGAAATGACACGCTGTCCAGGAAGACGGACAGCCAGCTACCAATATCGATGATCCTATGTTTCGGAACGAACCAAGTATACGTTTCAATCTCGTCAATCCTGTTCGGGTATAAATTGCTTGTCCTTGGAAGACAGAGTGGCATGGTTGACACCTGGATGATACAAGGCGAGTGTTTCTCCAAGGAAGGTAGCTGATCCGTTCTTGGATAAAATTATTTTAAACAGCTGCAGTGAACGCGATAATATTTTCATGTTGATTCTCGTCACTATTTTCTTTGGGCGATTGCTTTAATTCTGTATTTGTTAAAATGAATTTCAATCTGCTGTCACTCAACTCATGTTTGACTTTTTTTAAGCCACAAGCAAAGAAGAGTTCTTTGTTAGGCTACTTCTGGCTTCTGATCGTATTTATCGTCGTAGATAAATCTTGCCAGTTGACACCTGCGATTATCACGCGATGTGTTGCAGTCTTATCACCTTTCATCGCGTGACCAAAGTGAGAGAATGACTTACGCGTGCAAAGAAACGCTGCCTGAAGTAAATCTTTGAAAGCGTTGCAGAAACAACGGAGGAACGAGCATAAAGGGTAAATACAACAATAGAAGAGCGAAGAGCACGAGCAAAACATGGAGAACGGAAGCAGAGTGATTTATGGAGCTGCGATTGACAGCTCAAAAAGCGTCGGACTTCCGGTGGGCGGTGGACAGAAGAAAGCGATTACGGAAACGACTCGTAATCGGAGGGACGCTCAAGCGAAAATGAAACGGATGTGCCGTTTTCTAAACTCCCGTTTGCCGGTAGTATCGACCAACGACTCTTCCTGCGTTCCACGAAAACTACCTTGAAAATGTTCAATTTTCAACACTTATAAATTTAGACACAACTTCAACTTCAGCTACCTACTTTTAAAAATGATACACTGACATAAAAAACTCTATGAACAAATTCCTAGCAAATAAAATGATAAGTAACAACACGTGAATCATCGTCTCGTGTATGTGTGTGTGTGTGTCCTACATAATCATCGCAGGAGTCGATAAGCCCGCTCCCAGCAGTCCCTGTGGGATCAAAACAGTCGATCCTCGGTCCAAGAGCATCATTTTTCCCAGGACGAGTTGGACGGGAGGGTTTATTCGCGACACACGGAGACTGAGGGCTATGGTTTGGGGCGTGGTTGCTTCTCTCTAATACCCCAAACCATAACGCCGGCAGGCGTGATTTGTGAGAACGATAAATCGGCTTGGAAGTTAAGTCCGATCGTGAATACGAGTTACGACGTCGTGATTTGTAGTCGCCTGGATTTCCCAGGACGACGGGATAAGTTGTCTTTGCAACGTTCGGTTCGCTGCTTATGGCAGGGAACTCGTTTCGAGACGATGCTCGTTTTCCTGGTGTCTGTTTCAACCGTGGACGTTAATGAGCCGACGAGAAAACTGCCTGAATTACGACCAAGAATGGGATTAACGGCATCGAAACCTGATAGATGTTCGAGGCTTATGCGATTACTCCGTCGGAAGTTTAGCCAATCAAGCATTCAGCGAACCCTCTCAGAACGAGAGTGCCGAGAATCGAGGAAGCTTGAAAATGGTTCAGGTGTCTCTTGCCGTGTGCCTTTCATGCGACTGTAGCTGGATCAGTTGACTCAAAGTCCTGAACTACAGAGGAATCGAGGAAGAAGTGAGAATTCATAATTTCTCTTCTGCTACAGAAGAAGATGTTATTCAGTTAGAATAATGTGACATTTTCAAAAATTGAAATGTGTTGAAAGTAAAAGAGCTCTAAATTCTATTTTCGATAAAGTTTATAATTTTAAAAGCAATCGGCTGATGATCATCTGCTACATAGCGTACGTATATTTACTGTTGGAATGTATTACAGTTAACCACATATTTGCGATTTTAGCCTCAACTATATCCGATTACCCGGATATTTACATCCGAGTTCGATGTTGGAGGGATCGAGTAAAGATTGTAACTTGAATCCATCGTATCGAAGGGTTATCCATCCTACCTCAACATTGGACGAAAAATATGCTCGAAAGGTGGGAGAAATTTTCAAAGCGCACCAGCTGTGACGATAGAATAAATCGCGTTCTGGATGGCACTGTTTGCTTCGAGATGATAGCTCGATTCTTTTCAGAGATATGAAACTTCTAATATGAATAGGCGCTGCCGCCGTCGAGATCGAAAGAAAAGTCTGCCAAGGTCACAGCTCTTACTATAAATCACGTCAGGTGCTTTCTTTGTTTTTATACTGTGCTGACTTCTGTACAAGACAGATAAAAATCGTGTGATTCGCACTCAGAGTTCGGAAAAGTTTAGAGAAAATGTATCGCAAGTACCATCTTAAATGCTGGATGCTACATTGATTTTATAATTTGACCTATGCATGTATCCTCGTCTCACTTGTATCGGTATTTCAACTGTGAAAAGGTATTTTAAAATGCATTTGAAATGATATTTTATTAGCAAAGCACAGAATGTTTGGAATGGTGGCAATCGTGTACAACTCGATAGCGTAACAATAAAACGTAAAATATCGTATTTCTTTTACTTGCTAATAAAACGAAAAAACTTTTGGGCTGAACTAATAAAAACGGTGATGAAAACGAATCGTCGGATTTCATTATTAGCTTTTCACGCAGTTCTGCTGGCTTTAGTACTCATTGAAAGTTTAAACCCTATCGAAACAGCCAGTTCAGGATAGGTTCATTCACAGGCATCGCGTACTTCCCACCAACTTCCGTTCTAGCTATTTTTAACCATCATCCAACCCCCCAACCCTTCTTCTTTTTCAGGCACTACGTTTATCGTGTTTGAGCGCCATGCGTACGCTTACGCAGGCAACTCGCGTGCAGTATATCGGATCGATGGGACTGTAATGGAAATTTCTACTCTGGCCAATGAGCTTTCGCTCCAAAAGAGTATTTCGCCAACTGTAAATGAGACTCGCAGCCTTCATTGAGCCGAAGCTCCTTTCGCTGAAATAGGATCTCCCAGGACGAGCTGGTAAATAAATGAGTAGCGGTGGTAGTGGCCCGCGAATGAACTTTCGGCTTTTGTGATCGCAATTACAGCGAATGCCCCGTAGGTTATTTTGAAGGAAACGCGTGCTCGGGATTGGAATTGGTTTCCGTTTAAATGACAATCCTTGGGGGCCGAGTTATTTCTGATTGAGGAACACACACACACACACACACAAGTTCCTCTGATTGGCAATTGCAAAATTTTGAAATTGTTGTGTTTACTCCTACAAATTAGACGGCCTATACTCGCTGCTTGCTGCAATTTAAAGAAGAACTAGATAAAACTTCGCTTGGACTAGACGCAAATACACCACGTAAACAAATTATAATACACAGATTTCGAGAATAAAAAATAATGCGCGCAATATCACTTTTATATTTCGTTTTTCTGTCGATTTTGTGCATCGTTCAATTTAATTAATATTTACCGAGACCGCAGTCTTTCAAAGTGATCCCTATTTTTCCATTCTCTGGTCCAATATTTACAGAATTTATAATATCAATATGCCGTGGCGAGCGAGCGAAAAAGGACCACGTTAATTAACGAGGTAACGATCCATGTAATACAAAATTATCCCGTTCGCATAGTTCCCGGGGACCGTACTTAATTTACAAGTAGCAAACGACTATAAAAAGAAATTTACAGCGGGCAAACGACAATTTTTCCTCACTCCTGAAATGAACGGTATACCAAGTTCCTTGGCAATGCGCCAACGTAACAAATATTACGTCTTCCACAGACTACTGGCATAGAACACCGGAAGTACAAAGGTCGAGTAGAATTGCGCTGAATTCGGGACTTGAGCGATTTTTCACTGGTCGTTGAGTTTTACCATTGTTCTTTTCGTTTTTTTTTTTCATTTTGGACGCGTTAATTTTTGCAGAAAGGCAAATATTGACTGCCTTATTTGAAGTTGGAGCGTGAAAGGGACAGCAAGCTGGTAGAAGGGGAACTAAGCACGTCAGAGGTCCCTCCTCTGGGACCTAAGACTGTACAGGGACTCATCTTTCTACTGAATTCTACGATTAATTTTAGTTTACCTAGTATCGAGTTATTTTAGGACAAGAGTTTTCAAGTAAATTGAAAACGGAGAGGGGGACATGGTGAAAGAGTAAAATTCTTCATAAATGTTATGAAACCAGAATTACCAAAAAATGGGGATGAAGTTTCTCCACATGAAAATCAATTTAATGTTGGCTACGTGACTCTGCAAGCAAATGCGCGGTGGTGTTAACAGGAAGGAGGATAAAATTCAATTTAGTAGATTCACGCGCACCGTGATATCGTGACACCTTCTCAGCGAATAAATTAAAACCGCCTTGTTTCCTTTATGTCGTGGCTTGTCATGTTATCATTGATGGAAGCGCAAGGACGGGTACGTCGACATTGGTTTTTCAAGCCAGAAGAGAAGAACGTTATACGAACAGTCCCTTCCCATATATTTGATATGAAAATAGCTTTAATTTTATGAAGCTATTTTAATTGAAGATTCCTCCAGCATCCTTCATAATGTTATGGTAAATTTTGCTGGAATTTTTAATGTCATTTCCTGATCAAATGGGTAACAGTAATTTCCTTTGATCGCGTTACATCGGGCATTTCCTCAGTGGATTCTGTGAATTAATCGCGCCAATAGAGCCGGCACTTCGGTTCGACGCTCCGCAAATTGATCTAACCACGGCGTTGGCCACAATCCACTACTCGAAACTGTTTCTACGTACTGTTCTCAATCTTGACGTCATCGAATATAACTACCCAAGGGATTTGCAAATATCGGAACCGCTAATTGAAGGCTAGAAATTAACTTCGGAACGCTTTACAAACGAGTTGTGGTCTCAGCTGTTCGAGGATTTCCGTTCTGAAGGGAGACAAAGTAATTATTTTAAAAAAAGTATACAGTTGTCGGGAAGAAATGAATCGATATAAGGAAAATACGTTTACTTACCTCTAGACTGTAGCCCCAATGTAAGTTGTGTAATGGAATGATAGTTATGGAATTCAAAAGCTCGCAACAGGATGAGGTACATTAACAATTCTGTCGGTTTTAGAAGCTTCGTTGATGCATGGAATGCCATTTCTTATTGTTAGTTCTAGACTACAATTATACCCCTAATGTTATTTATATACTAGAGTAATAGCTCTGAAGTTCAAAAGCTCAACTGTTGCGGGTCTTTGTTGGAGGATGGGACACATTAACAATTCTGTCAGTAGGAGGCACTTGGTGCTGGAAGACACTTGTTGATGGAATATTTACTGGGCATGCCTCAGCTGTTTGAGGATTTACGTTCCGAGATGGGGCAGATGGGTTACCATAATGGAAGTATGGAATTAATAGGAAGATATATTGATAGAAGACAGTTACCGAGACAAGGAATACTAACTTCTAGTTTTACAAGGAGATTTTTTCGATAAAATATCGAAAAATATTTCATACCGAATTATTTATATTGGTACGTTTTCGTACTTACGGTGTGAAACTATCAAATTATATGCCAGGCTAACAATTTTGGAGTTCAAAAGCTCAATTGTTGTGGACCTTGTTGGACGACGAGGTGCATTAACAATTCTGTTAGTAGGAAGACTTAGTGGTTGAAAATACTTGTTGATGGGGTATTTACTGTGCCCGCCCAAAGCAATAACCATCCTCTGAAGCTACGCTTCATGAATGACATTTTGGCTTACACTTTGATGCAGGCTAGTCCAGTTAGGCTGTGAAAAGGGCATCCAATCTGGGGCTATGTCAGACCACACAAAGGATGAGCTTGCGTATCGGTTATTTTGAGTTTTTTCCTAGCAGGATGAGTAGAAAAATGAACACCTATAAAGTTTGATTATATGTCAACGTCAAGGTCAACGTCAATGTAGTAAACCTAGAGCATCGTCTGAGAATTTTAAGTATACTTGGATTCCTTAGATTTATTTCATGTTTGGTCAGACCTTTTGATGGTAAATCAAGTATTAAACTCATATACTTTTAAAATGTCCTTTTACTTCTGAACCAACTAGATTTCGTTTTTAATGGTTAACGATCAACTTCTCAGACAACATAGTTCCTACATTAAATGCTACTTACAATGTACGGTTAAACATTCAGTACTTATCATGCAATATGAAAGCATTTCCTTTGATCAATATTTAGCTCACTCATCCAGCCTCAATTATCCTGACCATGGGCCATAAATTTAATTTCTACGAAGTTCCTGGTATGTTGTTGAACCACGATTAAATTTTAAGCTGGCAAACGGTTAAAAAACTTTTTCTAGAGTGCTTCGTTTCGGAATAGGTCTGAGCGATAGCATTGGATCCACCGGCGAAAGCTTCAACGGCGATTTAGAGTTGTTTAACCGTGCTCAGCGTTCACTATCGTGAAACTGATTTATGGCAGAGTTGCTAACGCGACTTCGGTGTAAAAAAAATATACGACACGGATATGAATATCCCACGACCGGGAAGTAATGGCTCCTGTAATTTGTACACAATGTTTACTTTGTGTTTGACATTGACAGATTATGGCCCAAGCAATCTTTCTATATACATATGGTGAACCCAAAATGATGCTAACCAGGGGGAGTAAATTAATGTAAGATGGGAGCTAATCCTTGCTTGGTACTATCTTCTAAATTCGTATTTATCCTGTACTAAGGACTTTTAACACGTTAAGTACCCCATAAGTTCACGTAGAAAATATTTTAATATCGATAGGGGTACATACCATCATCAATTTTTCGTATTCTTCCTCGATCACGGTGCCATTGTAGTATCGACTGGTGGACTTTGTATCGGGGTAATAAAATCCTCGTTTGCAGACGCAACGATAACTCCCACGCCGAAATCCCAGTCCTGGAATCGCTATACACTGGAACAAAAAACGTTAATTGCGCGTTCACAAGGCAAATCAACAATGCAAATGTAGCTACAAGGACTAAAAATAGTTGAAAATAATTAGTGGAGCGATTAGGTTTAATAGGAAAAAGGGGAGATTCCAAATTAGTTCAGTAATAAGAGAGGGGGTGGGAGAATCGCCATTTCTGTAGAATTAAGAATTGTAATTCCCTAATTGCCGATCGAAAAATACTTAAAAACTAATTAAGACCCGAGCTCGTGCAGCTGTTCTTCAAATACACGAGGAAATGAGGTTAAAATACTTGATTATTGACTAACCTCTGTCGTTCGTTTCTTGCATTTGTCGCTGGCTGCGAATATGTTCAGCTGACTGGATCCTGGTGGTAAAGGACACTGATCTATGTCCAGTCTGCGTAGATCTATGTCTATTCCGCTTGTCCCCCTGCAACAAACAATTGTTTTCTTTTGTTGACGAAATCCATTGTGTATTTAGGAGAAGCGATTAGTAAAGCTGATTTCATTTTAAATCCTGCATTATGATTATGTAGTTTAATTAGGAAACGTAGTAAGGTACCCTCAGATCTCTCTGTACCGAGACGTTATCATGATCTGTTAGCGTGATTTCATGGGACAACCGGTACTAATAAGGCCATTGAGAATATCGTGATGAGAAACATAATCAATTACAGGGATCCGACGTATAGAGGAACGTATCATTTTGAGTCGATTGCGCTGATTAGAATTCGATAGTCTATCAAAGGTCTTGGACAACCCATAACGTATGCTTGATTGAATTAACCAAACATCGCCTAACAAAGTGTTGCTCAACTGATTCTGAATCGCTGGTACTTGCTTCTGCTAGTACTTCCTATTATAGCTTTATAGATTCAAGAGGATACGTGACAGAAGCTCTGACCTTTAAGTATAAGTTCACAAATGAACAATTTATTTTTTTAGCGTCCATTAGCAGCGGGAGCATACCACTCTCAGGTCTTTTAGCAATGTTCGAGCCTTCTCCTAATAAAATTGCTTTAATATTAACATCGAGCGATCTCTAATAGCAGAAGCAGAGTGCATCCGCCATTTTCTCAGTATTTTTCTATCGTTCACCCTCCGGGCCCATTTTGTTCGGCGCTGACTATATTATCTTCCTCTATCCCGGATAATTGTCACCGATTTAAAACGGACGCGCGAACCCCGTCGATCCTGTTGTTTTATCAGGAAGAATCCCGGAGGTTGATGCAATTTCGATAATTGGCTTTGTGCAGAGTTGTCGTTGCTATAGTTGGACGAAAAGGATCACGCAGCATCGCTAGCTCTCGCGATGATGTGCAGCGCTATGAAATCGAACCGATCGCCCTCGACGGGATCGCTGGAAATAAACGAATCAAGATTGAGTATTGTTTCCGACGGATGTCGAGATACGAAGTGATATCACGATAAAGAAGTTATCGCTCAAAGAATTAAATGAATACTGATTGTTCTTGACGTATACCTGCTCAAATGGAGCATTGGTTTTTTCAAGACAGGGGCAACCCATCGTGTATGGATCGATTCACTTCTCTTTGGAGGACGCATAGTGCATGTCGCTAATGACGAGACACTGCTTACAGTGTGACGCAGTAATAATGAGAGAAGTGCAATATCCATTACAATAGCAGCGAACGTAGATGTGGCAATTACGAGGGCATTAATTGTAACTTTAACAAGGAGTCTGTATCAGTGATTGTAATGCTAGACCTGCTGCTGACGGGAGGAATTGTGGGAATAATAGTGAATCTTCCAAAAGTTTCATTCGTTTCATTAGCAACTAAAACAAACGTAATATTTTATGATTTTCAACCGACTTCGAAAAGGAGAAGGTTACTCGATTTATTTATATTTAATTATATTTTTTATTATTAAAGTATCGAGTTGTATACTTTAGCTATCGCAGATCTACTAACATTCCCCTTTCCTACACATCCTCTTTTAAATTCTAATTATGTATCATAAGGGAATTAGATGTAGATGAAACGAGCTTCTTGAAATAACGTGTTTTTTCGAGTTTTAATAAAGATTTAATTAATAACCGAGCTTGTCAGTCTGAGTAAAATATTCACCGCAAGGACTGCAATGTAAAAGAAGGAAAAAAGAACGATAAAACTTGAAAGATGCAGAGTTAAGCTCTTCGTTACAACACAGTGGGATTCCAATAAATTGCAGGGATAATAATAAATGGAAGAGCTGCTGTATCATTTCATAAATGAGAAGGAATCTCGAGTAACGCAAACCCAGAATCATTCCTATACCAATTGGTGAATAACCAATATTGAGCTGGCTAGAAATGTTCTCTGCAACGTAAATTCAATTTGTAATTCAATTTGCAATTTAATTTATGATTCAATATGTGATTAAATCTGTGGTTATTTATCTTATCGTTCAGAAAATAAGCGAAAGTATACTTCATTATTTAAAGTAATGTTGACATATCAAACATGCGATGGTCGATAAACAGAAGTGTTTAGTGAATAAATTATGCTTGTTCAAACTACACTAGCCGTAAAAAAACGGGACACTATTTTAAAACGTCATAACTTCGAGAGTTTTCAACAGATCTTCGGGAAACTTTGTGAGGTTTAGTTTTGAAGTGTCCTCTGGGTGTGTGCAAAGTTGCATTGACGAGGGTTGATGAGAAAGGGTTAATTCCCCCCCCCCAAATGGTTAATGCAGAAAAACGGCACTTCAGAAGGGTCTAGGGGCGACGGAAGGAGGTGAAAAAATCAAAAAAACCTTTGAGGCGACTCTGTTTGATGTCCCCTACAAAATGCACCCCTTGAGATCGCTCTCGGACAAACCCACCCCTCACACCCCAACTCCCACCCCCCTAAAATCCACAATTTTTGGACGACAGTCCCGATTTTGGACTCGATGCATTCTCTGGACTCCCCTGATCCAGGAAATGCCATTTTTCCGCATTAACCCGCATTGACCGTTTTTCTGCATTAACCCTTTGGGGGGGGGGGGGTGAATTAATCCTTTCTCATCAACCCTCGTCAATGCAACTTTGCACACACCCAGAGGACACTTCAAAACTAAACCTCACAAAGTTTCCCGAAGATCTGTTGAAAACTCTCGGAGTTATGACGTTTTAAAATAGCGTCCCGTTTTTTTTCACGGCTAGTGTATATCTATACACTATAATACTAACGAATTCAGTTAATCTTATTTTATACAGTATATCATGATTAAGTATTAAATATTACAATTGTAGAGTGAATTCTTCAACTCTGTGAGTATTATTTATCAGATCGTCGAGTAACAGAGTGCTTTCAAAGGGAAGCTAATCTAAAAAATGTCATATCTGTTAGCGACAAATTGCATGGCTGGTGTCAGAGGATGACACTCCACGCGATTCCATCTTCTTGCACGTAATATCCTAGGGTGTTTCATTAAATGCACCGACTGCGAATCTTTTCAAAGCAAATCCAGACTATTTTCAAACGTATATTTTTTCTGGAAGCCTTTGTCGAGTATTAACTGTTGAATCCCACCGTGCAACCCCACGAACATTCAACGTTTAAATATGCTATCATTCACTGAAATAAAATTCTACCTTCTTTATTTTGATCACTGCGTTTATGTTTATCAAAAATTAAAGGAAGAGAATGTTCAAAGTAAGGTCTTTAAAATTCTCCAAGTAATGTTCAAAGTAGAGCCTTGTAAATGCTCACAGTATTGGCCTTTTTATAAAAAAAAATAGATACTCGCAATTGTGCAAGCAAGAAAGATAATTTAGTGGAGGAATTGTCGGGCCTAGAACGACGTCCATAGTTCTCGCGGAATCGATAGAGGGTTCGAACTGTGGTGAATTCGGTGAACCAGCAGTTACAGGGAGTGAGCATCAAGTATGTTAATTCACCTCGTTCAGGCAAACCGCCAATTGTTGCGCGAATCATTAAACTCTGCCGTTAATGGCTGAAGTAACACTTACAGCGAAATTGCAAGCGTAAAAAGGACAACATTCGAAAATCTCATCTTTGGTATCTTTCGGGATGAAAACACATTTACTTTGACAAAATAAAAATATTTTCACACATTTTATACGGTTCAACTTGTAAGATTTTAGATCATCGCTCAACGTTCAGTTCGTAGTTCGAGCAGGCAATTATTTCTCGTTTGTGCTTCGAAACGAATCAGTCAGCTCGTCCTAGATGGAAAACAAGTTCTCTGGAAGAAAATTAAAATCCCTTCCCCGATCCTTCATCTCCTCAGTCGAGTCGGTGTCATTTGCATACGGCACAGATTTGCGGATTTCAAATGCCGGAAACCCATTAGGGTCGCATTTAAACAGAAAATCACGTGAATTCCATTCGTTCATTAAAAGTCGTTGATTAAATCGCCAGGAACCCTTCTGTTTCGTATCTTTTTCTTTATTTTTCTTTTTTCGTCGGCACGAAGCGTTCCTCTCTTCCGGAATGCACTCTTCGTACGATCCCAGTCAGGAATGGAGTAATAAGTTCTCGCTGAACGACCAAAGTGCTCCATTAAGCGCCAAAAGTTGCCCCCGGTGCGAGGAATTAAACGGAGCAGATGTTTCTCGCTAATGAGCTATTCGATTGTCTTAATGACGAATATCGAAGCACATCTCGCACTTAAAGTGGATGGCAAGTTACGTGGAATTCGAGGATGACAGGAAGAGAAGGTTGAAAGCTTATGCCAAACAATTCGGGAAAGGCAAAGGGAGAAGGAGACTGTATTAAGGGTAGGAAATGCTAGAATTCTGGAATGGTAGACAGTTGAAATGCCAAAATTCTAGAACGCTGAACTGTTTGAATGATAATATTCTAGAATTCTGGAATTCCGGTACGGTGACACGTAGGAATGCTAAAATACTGTCTTCGTTTTCAAGTAGTGTTTTTACGAAATCGCGTACGCTACGACTGCTAAGGAAAAGGGATCACTTTTATCGATTTCACGCTCTGATTACGAAGCGCCAGTTGCTGATTTTCTCACGGCTTTTCCTCGAATCGTGTACGCCAACTGAGGTAATCGTAGTCTCGATAAAGAGAACAGCTTAACCCGTCGCGAAAATCCGCTACGTGAATCCTCTTGTCGCGAATTTAACCCGAATTTTTAACCTCCACTTTAGCTTTTCGTGTCCTCGTCGAAGGGGCTATATTTAATTCACAAGTCATGGAATCAATAGCTAGCAAGAGCGCTGCTTTAAGACAAACGTGTAAGTTTATTTCACCACTCCTGTTCACTTATGTTTAAGGAATCCTCTCCTCGGCAGTACTGTCATAAACTACGCATAGGTAACGTGCTAGCCAATTAATAAACACACTCGCATAAGAGGAACTTCAAAGCAGCAAAATTATGGAACAATACATTTACCTATCCACTCCAAGATCGAGACTGCATTTCTCCAACAAAGTGCGCTCCAGCGAGAAGCCTCGAGGAAAGCCTAACTGTTGCTTTCCTGTCGAAATATTCTCAGACCTCCAATTGCATCGGTAACTCGATTAGTCTCTTTGAACTTTGGCCAGCTCTTGTCACGCTTTACTTTTCAACGTAAACTATTTAATACCTTATCTACTTAAAGTCTATTTATAGACTTTTTAATCCCAGCATTCCAATATTCTGGACTTTATCAACCGTGTTGTTGGTTGTTGAGAAAACATTGGATAGCATCGATGCATACGCCATCGTATAACTATCAATTTAAGCTCATAGAGCCCCTGTTTATCAAGATATTTATAATGAAAACATTGAAGCAATTGCATTGGCACACAGTTCACACCTACAATCCATTATACCTTTATGATAAAACTAAGTAAGTACGAAAAACGCATTTGCGACATCAATCATCTCAGCTTGACAATCACGAGATAAATAAAGACTAGGCTTAGCTGAGGGGATTTATTGATGGTGGAACACGGCTTAGCAAACTTGGTGAACGCCGTGGCCATAATAACAGGATATTATGCGCCATTAGAGCGGCATTTGGAGGCCAAGATCTAGCTGAGAATCTTCTGTGAATTGTGCAGTCAGCCACGCCCGACGATCATTCTTCCCGCCATTATATTGGCTAGCTGCGAGCTTTTATCGCGTACCCCGTAAAACTAAGCCTGCAGTGAAATTAAATGTAACGACTCAAACAGCCTTCCTCCGCGGATATTCGTTCGTATATCTCCTTGGAAACGGTTCTCGCGGCTTTTGAATCGACGACGCATTGCTACGTGGTCCGCCTTACGAGATGTGGAAACCATTGTTCTGGTATTTGGTATTTCTTGGAAGTGCATGCAAGATGCTGCATCGATTATAGTTTGTCAAATTGAAGATTGAAGTGTTAATAGCTCGATTAAAGGTTTCTGAAACTTTAAATGCATTTATCTCTAAACACTTTTTCAAATTCTTTTTCAGATTGTCAAATTCTTTCTATTATTTTCCATTCAAGAAGTAATTTCTTTTCGTGAAATTCTGAACATTTTTGCATAGCCACAGGTATGTAGTTCAAGGTACTAGGTAAATTCAATAAAAGTTAAGTACCATCAACCGTACCGTTGGAATTTCATTTCATCCAAATTGAATACTCTTAACATAATGCTTCTTCTTGGAATTGCTGGCTCGAAGCGTTCTTTACTGTTAGTTTGTCATTTTGAATTCTCTTGATGAGAAACTTGGATTATAATGTTATTAATTAATTAATAATTTAATTTCGCTTGTGTCGAGAGAATACGAGCTTCGAGCTACAAAAAGAAGATAAGAGGTCAGTTATGCTACGTTTTAATTGATTCATTGTTGGTGACCTTCTGAAAGGAATATGCTAATCTGTACTTGAAGGAAAATTAAATTTAAAACAGTAGCATCAATTTTTTGCGGATTATAGTGGATGTTCATTAGTTCCAGTATATTCTCAATCGCGAAACGGCTGTCAACGATGCGTATTTGCGCTGACATGAGCATCAATATGCGTGTCCGACTCGCTGAAGAATCGAATTACATTGCAAACAGGTTTCCTCCGCGTTTCGAGGTTTATATCGCTAAACGAGTTAACGGATTCGATTTGTACTTCGTTAACTGATCTCTCTGACGCAATATCCGATGGTAGCGCGAAAGAAATCCAATAAATACTTGACAAAATTAACAGCAATTATGAATTGCACTGTGGAACGAATTCAATATTGCATTGAACAGAGATGTAACAAATATTCTTGAAATTGGACAATAATTGAGGCCACCGATAGACGTACCCATTCAATATTCTACAAAATAGTGAATTAAATTTCTCTTCCGACAAGTTTCAATTAGCATCACCAAATTGTATGCGTACGCGTGGAATGGCGGCAGTCGATAACAGTTTTCGAGTAGACCATAATGGACTGCGTATGGTAATTTAAAATCGAAATTAAAATTAAATTAGCGCGGAGATCAGTGAAAAGATATATAGGTAAATGTGGATTGTTGAATGAAAGTGATGTTCAAACGATTTCGTTTGGATGATTATCAGGACCTCGATACGGTCCCAGATCGACGTCGATAGTCGATGTGCACTCCTCCGCAGTCGATTCGGTCGTATCTTCTGACATGCGTCAATTTTACGACCATGATAAAATTTCAAGCTGATAAGCTGACAATGTTGGATACCGATTGACACGACAACAGTCCAGTATAGCGGTCGATACAGGCCACGAGCAATATCTGCTCCTACGAACTCGCAAACACTGTGTCACGTGTGTGCTAAAACGTTGCGAGTGTAAACGGAACAGTTAATTAAAAAAGAAAAGAAATTTTAGTGAAACAGGCTAGTCGTTGTGCAGAAGAGCTATCTCTTTATTTAGAGAAATATTCCAATGCAAACGTTTGAAAAAATAGGGTTCTTCAAGAACTAAAAGAAGAAAAGGTATTTGTGAATCAGGCACTGGCTAAATAATGGGTAAAATATTGCAACATACGTTTGATTGCTAAATATATTATATCGAGTGGAAAGATACACAAGCTTCTATATATAGAAAGTAGTTTCAAAGAAATGTATTTACCGTGGAAGTGCAATAAAAAATCGATTACGTTATCGCGTATATAGACATACACTAAACCAATAGCATTAAAGCGTGAAGGAGTTCCCATTATAAAACAATCATTGTAATCTTGCTACAAACAGCTGTTTGTAGCCTAGGCTATCTCAAAGTAACGACGACGATTATTATGGGTGGTAAAACTTATTTTTCTAAACTTTAAGTTTTCTGTCACTTCTTGGAGGATTAAAAGATATAATTTTGTCACAAAAATAAAAATGAAATAAGAATAATAATATTTAGATTGATAGAACTTAATCTAAACGATTAGATAAGAATATATCTTCAAATATCTCGGACAAGAATGGTCATGAATGTTGAAACATTGGAATGGTATGTTAATTTTGTCTTTCTAAGTATAAAAAAGATATAAGAATCTTGATCTTTCAGAGGAAGGGGAAGAGGAATCGGTTTGTTCACTGAAAGAAAGCAAAAGGAAATAGTTCAAAGGGTCGATCACATTACTCGAAGCAGAGAGAGCACACAATAGCAAGAAGTAGAGCTCAAGAACGTCAGCCAACAAGTGCAAATACGCCAGGATTGAAACCGACGATTTACTATTGAATCCAGCCAGAAACGATTGGAACGGAAAGAAACCACTAATGGCGGAGGAGCAAGCTGCGGTCCCAGATGTCAGTGAAGCCTGTGAAGTCAAGGATGAAGTTAAATCACGTTCAAAAAGGCACATCATCACTGCACCATCGAGAGAGAAAGTCCAAGATGGTGTCCGATATAGACGCGACAGGAATGGTACATGGAGACCTATCCTTGACGGAAATTTCGATTAAAGACAGACTCGGGATAGTTTTTTTCTTATCTCGTTAGGGTCTAAAATTGCACCTAGTCCTGTCATAGGAAAAGTTATCGCTGAAAATATCGATTTATCGGTATCTGTCAAAGTTTGTTTCAAAACAGTACCTGTTATCTCGAATAAAGAAATGATATTTATAATGTCATAGAAAATAAAAGGCTGAAATGTTAATCCTGTTTTCTTTTTTAAGTGAAATTTAGTTTCAGATTTATTTAAGTAAGCTCGCATTTGTTTCTAACATACATCGTAGGATCACTTGAAACGTTATTTCCATTCAGCATATGGTGTTTTTCCCAACTGGTCTTCCTCAATTTCCAGATTTGGTTTCTCTGTAATTAGAAAAAATACATGCATGTACATATAAGGTGAACTATTTCAGAAAACTGTTATTCGTCATTCTTTCCAATCTTCGATAATGCTCCAAATAATAAAACGAATTCCAAAATAATTGATTACCAGCCACCTGATAAAGTAATACCTAATTCATAACTGCAAGATAGCTCGACACGTCCCTGAAGAATCACTTTTATAGCCTGATGGGCATTCTCTATAGGGAGTGTCAACTATGGCTGGTGCTGCAGGTGGAGGATTTTTGTCATCAAATAGCCAAGGTTCTAGTGGTGGTGGTGGTGGTGGTGGTGGTGGTGACGGTGGTGATGGTGGTAAATATCTCAAATCAAGCTGAACTGGTTTAGAATGAATGTATCCCAACATCAGCAATACACACGATATAAAAAAGGAACTCTTCATCTCGTATGGTAAACGATAATTTTCTTCCAACGAACAATGTTTCCACGGTTAACAGCAACACTGATCTCAAGTCGATAAGTATCCTTCTTTAAGTACCGGGAGATGACCTAACGCTACATTCTTCCATTCTACCGTCTACAGACAAAGAGGAGAATAATTGCCAATAATGAGTGGAGGTTACGTAACCTTGTGGAGATCAAAGAGATAATCGATGTGTCTAATAACGCAGTAGCTATATCGATTCTAGAGATGTTAGATAATAGAATATTTAAAAAGGCGGTAGAAACTTCTAAACACTTCGAAGCCACCTGGAGACACTCTCAACCATTCAAGCATTCGTTGAATAGCGATCTAAAAAGAAGATTTCGATTGCAATTGACTTTATTTGCAATTAGCGTTGAAAAGACAGATTCGAATAGCAATTAAAGAATTATTTGTTTACTTCCAATATTCGAAACAATTAATTTCGTGCAAATGGAATTACAAATCGATCGATTGTAATTACAACAAGCAATTAATAATCAATTGGGATGAACAGTTATTGACGAACAGTAGTTATCAATTGTGAAATCAATTACACTTTGCCCAGAACTGTCCTATGCACCGCTGGCCATCGCTCTCCGGAGCAGGAAGTTCTGGTATAGTGAATATCATGTGCCACAATCCAACAGGAAATGACATGGACTACAGCGCGACAATCGCCACCGAAGTTCCAAGGTAATGTATTCTAGAGAACCAGGAAACGTATGAGACTCTTCATCCTGTCGAAAATAGCGTTCCTCGGCCCTTCAGCGATCGGGGATGTTATATTTCTCTCGATAACAGACACTCTGACGATGAAACAGAAACGGACTGAAGAACTTCATTTTTCCATCTTATGGATAAGTACGTAGATGATTTTCTTCGTATAATCTCTTTGCTCTTGGACTATATGAAAATCATGTTTTATGAAACTCGTTCGAAACGAAAAATGTACAGTTATACCTCCTCTATATATGAAAACGGGCCAATATACGAAAATATTTGACAAAAAGTATTCAATGTTCTACACGGATGAACAATTTCAAAAAAATCGGAGGCAGCCATCAGAAGGCCTCTTAGTTCCTTCATTATTGTACAGCCTGACCTAATGGAAGTAGAATTTTGTGTTCAGTCAGATTTGAGTTAAAGAGAAAAAAAAACTCAAATTGCTATTAAAACAAACTTTGTTTGCAATTAAAAAGTCTTTGGAATAGAAACTTTAAATTCCTACATGTATAACACCTCCCACGTGCAGCCTCACTCCAAGAACTATTCAAATATGTATCACACAATTCTGGATGGGTGTACACTTTTTCAGCGCTAAACTATGAAACGCCAACAGCATACTATGTACAAAGAGGTAGTTTGATACGAACTTCGAGGATGTTTTCCACCCACCTGGTCCGTCATTCATGTTATCAACGGCGGCTAACTTGAACCGGTGTTCGACACTTGCCGGTAGGATCCAGCTTCTGGTTTCCAGGACATCTCAGCAAGGGAGCAGTTATTACCTCAGGCTCGGGGACTGGCCGAGCGTAGACAGGCACCGTAGGACCTTCAACAGTGGTTGTCACAGCAGTTGACATAGTCTAGAGTTAGGGTTCAGCAACAGTGCTTACTACTCACCGTACTTCGAGTTGATAGGTTGAGGTCTTCTAAGATTTAAACTTTGCTGATAATTGCTCCCCTGACCAGGAGGCTGTGGAACACTATACACCATGCCACGGAATTCACTAGGTGTTAACGTAGAGCCCTGAGTGTGGTTCAGCACTGAGAATGCAGGAAAGTGCGTCCCTGTCGATTGACAAGTATTCACTGACACTAACTGCCAACCTACTGTCACCAGAAACGTCAGAATTTTCATCCTCTCTCAAGGCAGCTTTTCTCGGTCAGGAAACACCAGATCACTGTTGGGTGGACACTCGAGACAACACTGGTAGCTTCTTTGTACAGTTGGCGAACTTGATCGGAGATCTTCGATAACATCTATAGTACTTCTTCTTCTGTGTGCGGCAAACTGGTCTGGCCGGCTTGGGACCATCGCAAACTTTATCGCCTCGCCATGGATTATTAACAAATGATAGCTTGATGCATCTTTTTAAGAGTCGTGGGATAATTACAGTAACCTTGACGACGTTGACTGCGTTAGAAAGGTGTTAGGTTGTTAGCGTTATCATTCTTTAAATATCCTTGAAATTCCCCGCCACACTAGTGCTTCCATAAGCTGATCCCAATACTGCGAATCCTTTCTGATACTTTCACGAACCATCCATGTATATTCATCTAGCCTCGGAACTCGTCGATGCTTCGAGTAGGGAACGGCTGTATCACTGTCATTCGATGTGATTATTGCAGTAGTTGTGTGGTTTCTAGGTTTTATAATCGTTGTCATAATCGCGTCTAAAAATTATCACATTCAACTTTCAATCGAGTCACAAAATTATCACAATCAGTTCATAATTGCGTGACAAATGCATCACAATCTCCAAGTTTCTGGACCTCCTCCGTCGACATTTGTGAATAACAGCGAACCCGAGGCTTTCCTCGTCCTCGGCCCGTTATTTGGGAATTCGCGTATGCGGATGTTCCTCGGACGCAGAGGGAATGAAGCAGTACACATGAGACGCAACCGCAGCCGACACACTCACGTTTCAATCAACCCTCCTCGAGCCAGGAAGTCACGCGATGTTGAAATACCGCCAGCCTGGGAAACCTAACAGACCAAATTCTCGCATCCGTCGACGAACCGTTGAATGGTACACCCTCCTTCATTTTCGTCGGACCGCATCGGCTCCGCGACCGTATATTTATGATGCCTGATGAAGTTGCGACCTGGAAGCCAGGTAGTCATCGCGGTGAAGCGTGCTCGACTACGACTGTCGATTGGAACACGCCACATAGGCCAATTAAAGGGCTCACATAACGTCGTTAGCTACCTCTGTCGACGACATTTCGCGAGGGAACGCAAATTTCGCAGTTAGGCGAGGCATATTTGTGTTGCGTCCTCGGTTCACAGGACGCGGCTATGAATCTTGACGAGTTAGAGTTACCGAAACTATGGTTTGCTTGTATACACACTTAATCCCCCTCTCTTAGCCAAGCGACACTGTTCCCAAAAATAATTCGCGAGGAACGCAGACACGAATGACCGACCGGTGATGCCCACCTGCCTCATGTGTTAAAAAAGATTAATTTCGAGCGATGTTACACGAATAAATTGTGCTAGAAACGATTCCGAGTGGGTATCCGAATTTCCATCGATCAGGGAAGCAATTTAATCTCAAGTAGCGAATGGAAATGAATACCGTCATTTTCTATGCGCATATTCCTTGGATATGTTTCTATCGATTGATGGCAGGCCCGCGGCAAAAGATAAAACTCACATATATACATATGGACATATCGAGGATGGACGATGAAAATGAATCCGTAGCACGTCAATAAAACCGTGACGTTGAAAGAAATTTCGCTTGAACCCTTTTAGTGAAGCTAAAATCCCTCCGACTGGGAGCTGAATGTTTTCATCGTTTTTAACAGACTTCATAAAAGAGGTTTTTCTTTCGTTATTCAGCAAATTAGTTGTTTGCAATTTAGATTTGCAATTAAAAAATTTGTTCATCAGAGAATTAAAAGTATCATTTAATTCTCTTTTGTGCTTTTCCTAAAGTCGCTTAAATTTCTTTTTTTAAGTGTTTCATAGACGTCCATGGTCTCAATTACAACCAGAACCGTTCGTGAATATTTCTCACAAAGCGGTGCAGAAGAAAGCGAATCCAATTCGGTAGGTAGCGCACTTACTTGAAGAAGTATGTGTCGTTGACGTAGCCGAAGAAAGGAACGGTGTAGGTCAGCATCCAGATATTTCCACCCCCGCAATCGTAGTACGGTTTCGACCACCTGCCGTCCTCGTATCTCACTGTCAGGATCACGTCGTCCTCCCTCTCTGTATGCGTCGTTTCGTTCAGCGTGTACGTGTGAAAACCTGAAGAACAAAGGAAACAGAGACGTTGATATAAACGTCAGTACCTAACCCAAAATCTAATCCAAACCCTTTTATCCCTCGAGGCAACGACAAATGGACATACACCATTTTCGTAATGAACCCGAGAAAGAAACCCAGACCTGGCCAAGACCTAGGAGCTGTATTTGTTGGTCTAATGGAATATTCTCAACTTCAAAGAATTATTTCATTTATGGAAATAACATTAACGAGGTAAGAAATAATTTTTTACCAAAGTACTTTCTTTTACTGTTTGGAGAAATGAGGCCGTGTATAAGTTAAAATGGAAGTCGAGGGTGACACAAGAAGATTTCCGGAAAGGCGACGATAAACATACATTTGGGTTCAGCTGCGTACCTAAATTTTGTTTAGGACAGGCCAATTCCAATAAGGCGTCCTGAGATCCCACAGTAGCGTTTCGCGTGAGTTCGTTCGCATCGTACGTTGCGACATCGTCTACATATTGGCCGAGTCAAGCGGAGAAATCTGTGTATATCGTTCCCCCGACGTCACTTCTCGACGATAACGAAACGATATTAGCGCGTCACGTGCATCCAGCTTAAGCAGGATTTGTCCGTTGCCCCTATCGCGAAATTGGAAATGTGCCGTTCATTTTGCGCCGATCGGGGTTTTACTGGATGCTTTCGTTTGCAAATGCCACGCGGATCGTGCTAATGCGAATTCATTAAAAGGAGAACGTGCTTGGATTACCGTTTGCCTAGTACCAACGGACTCAAAAGGACGACCCTGCGATTCGGGCGAAACACAACGTCCTAGTCATTCGATGGATGTTAATCTGTGATATAGACCGTGACATCCTCATAAAGATCTAAATAAGATATTAGGTTGTTGCACACAAAATCTTCATTTTTCTCGAGAAAATTTACGCGCCTGTATTTTTTGTTACAAATTAAATTTATTTGTCCAAATTAGCTTCAACAAATTTGGTGTACTTTTGTCAACGATGCACGACCAAGTTGCCAAAATGAAGATTGGCAAACAAATGGCATGTTTTCGAAAATGTGAGATATTTTTAACTTTATAAATCAAAGACATCATCTAGCTATTATTCACGTACTACAAACTTTGGAGGACCACTTGTACGTATACTACTGAATCAGAAACTCAGGTATACCTCATTCATTTTCCTCATTAGCAGCACACTCGAGGCTGATCCTCAGCTCGAGATAAAAATAGCTACCTATCCTGCGCTTAAGTGGACTAATTTATATAATCTTCTATTTTACATTTACGAGGTGTAGAAATTAATACTGTGCCTGTCTAGAAGTATAACAATATGCAAACTTTGTTGGTTACTGGATATATTTTTCCTCTCTCCCTCTGCTTGTGTTTCTAACTATTACTAAAGTATAAAAATTTAGTTGCTAGGAGTCTTAGAGTATAAAATTATAGTATAAGTATAAAAGTATAAAAGTTATAAGTATAAAAATTTAGTCGAGGAGTTTAGTTAGGAGTCAGGAATTTCACACAACTGGTGTTAAAGTATTAGACGGGTTTCAAACGACCTGGTCTCTAAATATAAACTGTATTTTCGGTTAGTCCAATTCTGAAAGATTCATGGGATTTAAGAAAGAACCTGGCTTGGCCACCTTTATTTTTGGTCAGAACAGTTCTGGATCATTTATTGGATTTAAAAACATGTGACACTAAAAGAAAATCTACATTTTTATCGAGGTTGAATTTAAATTATTCGTGGAACGAATACCTCAAATGTACAATCTATGCTCCTATGAGTTAAAATATTCAAAACATTGAATATTTAACTAACTAAAGGCTGTGGCGTTAGTTAAACCGATCGTCGTTCAAAGAGCTAATAAAGTTAAGAGGAAAGCAATATTAAAATATTCAGAAAGGTCTAATGGAAGAAGCAATGTTAAAGCTTGGATGTGTTGCTTTGCTCGAGAGATAATGTATGCTTAAGTGACAATTAGAAGTCAGTGAATCTTCTTTAGAGATACGGAAAGCAGAGAGAGGACAATGGAAAACATATTTCGCTATGTAATCTAACGTTCATCTCTTGAGTGGTATGAGATTATGATTTTCATTCCTTTATTTTCGAATAACGAGTACCTTTCAAACAAAAATTTGCACTTTGGACATTCGTACACTTGTTACATTTATAAAAAGTACTCTCTTTGCTGTTCTTGAAATATCAACACTCCACGACGAAATTTCCCTCAACTATCGACTAATGAACTAGCAACTGTCAACTGTGTGAACAGATAAGAACTATCGACCCTAGGTGAACAATAATGAGGTCAACCGTAACATCACATAATTTTGATATGATCGATACGCCTCTTGAGAATTGGTGTAAAGAAATGCAACTGAATTCAAGTCACGCAGTAGGGTGTTTCGCTGATCTAGATAGAAACAATTATTCTTTTTGTAGAATCCCTTGCATCATCTTCCAAATATCTGGGGAAAATTAATTAAATTTCAGTAATATGTCTAAAAAGTTACACTTTATTCCACGCACTCACTTTCATATGTTACTACATGCATGATAATATTTAATTAATCCGGAGCTGTACATATTAAATGCATTTCGAAGTATCAAATTATTTTATCAATATTTCTCGAAAATATAATATTTCCATACATGGAAAGTTGATATAAAATAATTCGAAAAATTACTTTTCATGTTTGGAAATATTATATTCTCTAGAAATACTAGTATAATAATTTGAAACTTCGACATCCAGTAACATTCAGTCTTCGATTGAATATTGTTAATAACCATCACGGTTCGGAATAAGTATTCATCGAATACAATAATCATGAGAAATTTTTCCATATCGTTATATCTGTTAGCTGAAGTAATTAAAAATTAATTTCTAACAATAGTTAAATGATTTATTAACAATATTTGTTCAAACAATGATCGAGAACGTTTGGATGTTTAACCAAACCGACAGATCATGGATCTGAGTTTACCAGAATCACCACAGGATCGATAGCATTCCAGCAAATAATCTGCTGCAAGCAAAGTTCTTTGGAGTATTTGTGCAGATTATGCAGTTTGTTTATTTACTCTTTACATTTCAGGGGAAAATCTAGTTCATTTAGGAAAGAGGAAATTAATAATGTAACGTCCAAAATTTGTGCGTTTGTAAGTTCACTATAACTCCTACGATTTTTGTCCAGTTAAAAATTCGTATCGAATATTTGTTGACTTGTGTGGGAGATTTCATCGTTACAGTTGCGAGTTGGAGTTAAATTTTCCAATACAGCGATTGATGGTTATAACGAGGACATTTTGACGGTCTCCCAATGCCCGTTACAAAGGATCAAGCTTAAATATTCGCACCTTTGAATGAAACTGATGATACTTCAATATGTTGTTCATTAACGCAAAGTTTTATTTAAATCGGAATTTTAGGTTCGAAAGCTTCTCTTGTTCGACGTTTCTGTTTCCAAAATAGCCTATTGTCTATCGCGCGAGGACCTTAAACGCGGTTCAATCGTGCTGTTAAGATTCTCCAACCCCCAACCACGCTTACAACCCCATTCCCAGATGTTTCACCCTCCTTGCGGTATTTTCTTCGTCGGTTCTCTAGTTAGCCACCATTATTGGTTGCTATGTTTACAGAGGGAACATAAATTATTACTTCAGCAGATTTGCTCGGAGGTTTCCACCCTCGTCATGACCATCGACAGAAGCTGGAATACTAGGCTGAATGACTTCAACCGGTTTTACTCACGTAGCGTTCCTTCTTGAGGTTTGGGGATGGGGAGGTGAGCGAAGAAAGGTCATCCTCCAATACTTCTTTGAAGCAGGGAGGGTTCGTATCGTTTGGAAATTGCAGGAAGCAAAAAACGCCTATATAAGCCTAGCCATGATTGAGATGGGTCGGTGCTCAGTATTGGATGTTCCATGTTGCAACTCCTACTTGAACAGGTTTTAGTTTGATGTTTTCGTGTTGAATTTCTTTTTCAATTTAATATTCATCCGTTAAACATCAAATGCAACGTCTCGTGATCTTAGAATGATAATATTAATATTAAATGTCTATCTTTGTAATATATTTTTAGTGATCAAAGATGATTTAACAGAGGTCACTTGTGGATACGTGACATTTATCGTTTCATGAAATTAATAATTTTAATTAAAAACATAATACTGGAATCCACGGTCATTACAATATTTAGGTGAACCGTGTATCACTCTTTCCACGTCATTTCTGTATAATAAGCGTTCACAAATTTGTATTACTCTTAATTATCCCATAATTAACGTGACGTATTTCCTCGCATTTGAGTATATTTTCCAATTAAAAATCAAACAAACAGGATGGATCATTCCAACACGTCACCAATTATTTAATTCACGTGATTGCGAGATTTGTAAATTTAGAAAACCTATATTTACCAATTTAAACTGCAAAACTCTCTTAGCTAGGGCCTGTCGAACCTGTCTACTTGGAGAGAACGGCGTTGAATTAATTCCGAAGATTTTAATCGAGCTTGAATCAATTAAACCTGTCAATTCCAACATTCGAAACGTTTTGCACGTCTAAAAGTTTGAATTTCCTGTAAGGTAAGCGACAGGAAAACCGTGAATGCAATTATTCGCATAAGGTCGCCTGTAGAGGAGTCGAATTCATTGTAGTTACGGGAAACTTTCGACTGCAGCAATTTCAACCGGGGTGAGGATAATTTAAGAGATTATTCACGACGATTAAATTTGGAAGTGATCGATGGTATTCAATTTAGAATACAGATCTAGCTAAATTTAAAAAGACCAATTTGTCAGGTTCCATGTCCTTTGTCGTACCTACATAGTAAAATGGAATTCTATTTAGGGAATATACTGTCAAATTTTTATAATTCTACGTAAAGTAAAATTGATTATAACAAAAGAAAACTGGTAAATGATATTTCATATCGTTTCAGTAGAATTTACGACTCGTTGGAACTCGATTCTTTTCTAAATCGACCTACTTATAAGGATCTGATAT